CCAAATTATCCACTTAATCACCAATTATATCGTTGTTAAAAATCACATAACAACAGATTCCAAAGGAATATTTTTTGTTAAATCTTCCTATGACAACATAATATCCCACAAGATAGGCAATACCAACAAAGCATCTTCAAGTTCTGTTAAATTGAGAATGAAGAAAAATGTGGGATAAGACTTGGAAGATGCCTATCTAACCTAAGCAGAAAAATTTCATGTGAAGATTACTCAATGGCTATTTGGGTACTAAAAACCACATGAGGAAGAGAGGATTAGAGGTTGATGAAATCTGTGTGCTTTGTAGGGAGACATCATAAGATCCTGAACATATATTCTATAACTGCACTCAAACTAACTTATGCTGGAAAATTTTGGGGTTGGAATGATTTGCATTGCATGATGGTTCTTAACCTATACAAGGTTGGTGAGAGGAGGTTTGCAATAACAGCAGATTCATGCTCATTTAGGATAGGCTAGCTCTGTCAGTATGTTTGTTGTGGAGGCTGTGAAAAGCAAGAAACAAAAAGATATTTGATAATCAGCCTTTTGAAGTACTAGAAGTGGTGGCAAGAGCTCAAAGAGACTGGGAAGAGGAACAACGAGGAGCAACAACAAGAATTCCAAGATACAACAACTCAAAGGGGGGCTGCATATCAAGGGGAACATCTTTCCAAGAGAGTAGGTCATGTGGCATTACAAGTCAGTGCTCAATGTTCACCAGAAGGAGTAGCCAATTCCATAGGAGATGCATTCTATGAAGGGAAGGAGTTCCACTCATGGCATACAACAGATAGGAGCTCAGAGAACACAGCTCAGCAACAATTCAGACAGCTTTATAGGCCCTAAAGGAAGCTAGAAGAATGGGATGGATATCCCCTCCGTGGGCTTCTACTGCCCTTCCACCACTTCTAGCCTACATTGCCAACATAATGCATATGTAGCTTCTTTGCTTAGAGATGATTGTTTCTGTTTGAACCAGCTTACTTTAACTCTTGAAATTCAGGATGTTATGTCTGCTTTTGACTCTTTTTTATTTTCAGTTTGGTGACTTGGTTCTAGTTGGTAGTGACCATGTTGGTCTTTGAGGGGGTTCCATTTGGGGTGACCCTCGTATCTTGACTGTCTAGCGTTTAGGTTAGATAGGAGAGTGTTGGTATCAGTTAATATCCCTTGTGTACATTGGCTTGATTTTAATATTATGTGGTTTTATTTAGAAAAAAGAAAAAAAAAAA